CGAGATGTATTTGACATAAATTCTGACGCTCGAATACAGTATCATCGTGTAAAAGCGGCTTGAAGCCGTTCACACACACATATTCCTGCATACAGTATCGGCGACTAAATTTCGGTCTCTCGCTAGTCCCAGTCGCCCGGCGATTGTACGATTTGAGGGTCTGATGGGCTATTTGGTTCATTGGAACTGTTTACACCAGGAGACTTTTTCATTTGCTCACTACTGCGTCGCCTAAAAAGCACTTACCTAACTGCGAAAGAGAAGTTTAGCATGCCCAAAGTCTGCTAAGTTTACAGTGCCACCATGCTCAGAAAAGCCCTGGAAAATATGCGAACTAATATTGAAATAATTCAAGCTGGCCAATAGAAAGTCTGCAAAACGACGCGATACATTCCGCGCCATAATTATTAATTATTCCGTTTTGATAGTTGACGCTGTACGTTATTTTAGTTTACACTTTGCTTCTTGTATTTGCTTATTTTACGTTTGCCGTCTCCAGTTTTATACAAACTCGTCTTTTTCAAGACGCATATAGCTTAGATCTACGATCTGATAAGGTATGTAATTCCCTTAAAGTGTTTTTAAATTTTTGCGCCCTCGGACACGCCCTGTCAGACTTTCTGAGCGTGGTGCCACTGTATTTGAAAAACTGTATCTCGGATACGCAGTATCTCGCATACAGTATTCCCGTATAAAAGCGGTCTAAAAGTAGATTCGTATAAAAAATAACGTCGGTGTTACAGAATGCATTGTAAATTATTGAAAATCTAAATACCTTTGCAATTCAGCCACGCAATTCAATTATCTTAAGTCCAATTTTGATTTTACAGTCAGTAAACAAACACGATAATGCTTGTTAATAGCTCACTAATCCAAAATGGGAGTGAAAGGGTATAGAATCATTTTTGTGTATCTACCTACATGGTAAACGGAGTAAACGGCTGCGGTTTGGGGCTACATGAATACATTTATACTTAAGTAAGCAGTTAAATACTACGAACGTATAAGTAAACATATAATATAAACATAATGTTGAAATAAATTTACCCTTTGCCTTAATATACGAAATAGTACAATATAAGCGCACACGCATTCGAAACATTAACCCTATTTTATACGCGTTCTTGAAATGTACATATTTGCTTTGTTTTCTACAAAAACCATCAAGTATCAGCAGAACAAATCGCATCACTATATTATAACGTTTTTATTACATATTCAAAATTAAATTACTTTTCTTTCCGTTCTTTTTCCTCTGGAAAATTATTAGTAGAATAGAAGGTAGAACCGTGAACATGCTCGCTAGTCTGTGATACAATAATGATTTTAGGATTATGCGGTAATTGACAGGTGTCAGTTATCTTGTCAAAAGCACGCTAATACAATTTTTCGTATAGTACCCAATGTCAGTCATGTGTAGTTTTCCTTGTACTCGTTTGCGTTAAAAATATTTCACATGGCGTCTGTAGTGTAATTCCAATTCTATATCCATTTGAATAAAACTAATTTCTCATTATAGACATCATCAGCTAATGTTGATGTCCCTTTGTAAATCCGTGGTTCTTTTTAGCGCATTTTTGAAAAAAATACGCTATTATATTCGCTATGGCTGGCAGGCCGGCTGTCCGCGTGAGATCTCCACAACTACAATAGCTAGAGAATTCAAATTTTCACTAAAAGCTTTCTGCTATAGTGTAGATGTGCAGGCACTAGTCTATTTTGAGTTAGATTACTTGTGAGATCGATAATTGAAGAAAATAATTTCGATATGGGTTTCGGAGGTGCTATAATTTTACCGTTAGATAGCGCTACCAGTATAAAAACTTATTATTTACTTTGTGATTTGTTTTACAAAATGAAGACGTACCCTCAATTGAAATTATATATATATATATATATATATATATATTCATAAACCCGTATTTACCTTTCGGTGTACGGGGACAGAATACACAATAATTGACATCTAATATTAATAACTGTAATTGTACACAAAATCAGCCCATGCTTTTTTATTCCTTGCAGTTTCCTTTGCTTCACTCCAGGTTAATCCTCTTTTTTTGAATATTTCTCCGATTTTCTCGTCCCAGGTTTTTTTTGGTCGTCCTCTTCGTTTCTGGCCTAGCGGTTTTGCTATCCATATTTGTTTCACAGGTGCTTGGTTGCCCATTCTTTGCAGATGGCCCCACCAACCTAGCTGTTTGCTTTCGATGTAGTCGACGATGGATTCCATCTTTAATTCTTTGCGCACATCTGTATTTCTGATCCTGTTATATCGCGTTATTCCTATGACTGTTCGTAGAAATTTCATTTCTATCGCCTGTACTTTGCTCTTTGTATTACTATTTAGTGTCCATCCTTCGCATCCATATGTTAGTATGGGTCTGAAGATAGTCTTATAAACGTTCAGCTTTGTGCTTCTTGATATTTCTCGTTTTCTTATTATCGTATTTTTGATGGCGTGATATACTTTGGATGCACCTGCTACTCTCTCGTTTATTTCGATGCCTTGTTCTCCACCTTCTTCAATTGTAACTCCTAGGTATTTATATTGTTGTACTTGTTCTATTTGTTCCTGTTCGATACGTATGTTTATCTTCTTTTCTTCCTTTGCAATAGCCATTACTTTGGTTTTCTTTTTATTAATTTTCATCTTGTGCCGCTGAAGTTCCTCGTTCCACACTTTTAAGTTTTCCGTCAGATTACGTTCGCTACCTGCTACAATCACAATATCATCCGCGAACACACATTCTGTAATTTCCACTTTCTGGAGTTGGTAGTATCCTATGCATAGTTTTTCTTTGACTCTATCATTACATTTCCTTATAATTTCGTCCATATATGTTATAAATAAAAGTGGGCTTAAAACACCTCCTTGTCTGAGTCCTTCTTGCGTTTTGAATGGCTTTGATTTGGTGTTTTTGCTGATGACGCAGCTGATGTTGTTGTGATATATACTTTTAATTAACCGTATCATTTTTTCGTTTATCCCATTATTTCGTAGGATGTTCCAGAGTTTTTCTCTCGGTGCTCTGTCGAAGGCCTTCTCCAGATCGATGAACGCTAGGTCGACGTCTTGATTTCTTTGTGTGGCTCTACTAATTATTTGGTTTAGGGTGAATATGTGGTCTTGTGTACTTTTGCCCTTTCTGAAAGCACTCTGTACTTGATTTAGGGTCTGTTCTAATGTTATTCTTAGCCGCGCATCTAGGACTCTTTCGTACACCTTCAATGCATTGCTTAGTAATGATATACCTCGGTAGTTGCTACATTCTTTGGGGTCACCTTTCTTGAATATTGGTACTATCAGCGCGGTCTTCCAGTCTTCTGGTATTTTTTCCTGTTCTTTTGCGGTGTTAATTATTTTAAGTAGCACGTCCAATCCTCTACTTCCCAGGTTTTTTAGCATTTCGGTAGTGATGAGATCGCTTCCTGGTGCTTTTCCAAGTTTCATCATTTTTATGGCTTTCGTTACTTCTTCCATGGTTATTTCTTCTACTTCCTCGTTGGTGTTCTTACTATTTTCTGTAGCTTGCTCTGGTGTTAATTCTTTCCCTCCCAATTTTTCCATGAAGTGCTCTCTCCATCTATTAATTATCGCTGCTTCGTCTATGAGTACGTCGCCGTTTTTGCTTTTAGTGGCCTTGCTTTGTTCTGTTTTTCCTTTCCTCAGTGTTTTTAAAACTTTATAAAATAGTTTTTGGTTTCCTTTGCTGCTACTTTCTAATTTACTCCCAAAATCTTCCCATGCCTCCTTTTTTGTTTCTAAGACGAGTTGTTTCACATTATTTCGTTGAAGTTTATATTCTTCGTATTTAGTATTTGATTTTAAGTTTATGTATTGTTGCCACTTTTCTTTTTTGGTTTTAATCTCCTTTTTTATGTTTTCATTCCACCATGCCGTTCTTTTTTTTTGTCATTTACCTTAGTTGTACCGCATATCTGTCTTGCTGCGTTTAGGATAACTTCTTTGAATGTAGTCCATATTTTTTCCACGTCATGTTGGTGCTGCAAATTTATTTCTTCAAACTTCGTATCCGACAGTTGTCCAAACTTTTCTGCTATGTTTGCGTGTTTTAATTTATATGATCGAATGGTTTCTTTTATTACTGTATTACTTTTGTCTTGTTCACTTTTGCTTTTTTGGGATCTTTCTTCACACTTAATTTTGGCTATTAGTAAATAGTGATCGCTATCTATCTCGGCTCTTCTCGACACCTTTACGTCTTTTATCGTTTGTCGATTTTCCGTTTCTACTAGTACATAATCGATTATTGACTTTTCATTTCTTGTTGGTTGCTCACGGGTGTATTTGTGTATGCCTTTATGTTTGTAGAAGGAGTTTGCAATTATGAAATTGTTTATTATACAGAATTCTAACATTTTGTTACCGTTTTTATTTCGTATATTTTCTCCATGTTGGGCTAGAACTGTTTTGTATGCATCGTCTTTTTTTCCGACTCTACTGTTAAAGTCGCCGGCTATATATACTTTTCCCTTTGATGTTTCTGTTACTCTTGTCAGCTCGTTCCAAAAAGCATCCTTCTTCTCAACTTTTTGATCTTCATTTGGTCCGTATACTGCTATTATTGTTGTTGTACTATTTCTTCCAGTAAGATCCTTGAACTGTACCTTCATTATTCTTTCGGAATTCGCTTCCCAGGTTTCTACATTTTCTGCTAATTTTTGGTGTATTAAGCGTCCTACTCCTGCTGCTGCTCTTTCCTTTTGGTCTACTCCACTATAGATTAGCAAATGATTTTCTCTTGTTCTATTTGTCCCTTGTCCCTTTTTTTTTGTTTCTGATAATATTAAGACGTCGAGCTTTGCTTTTTCAAATTCTTGTACCAACTCGTCTTCTTTATCGCTAAGGCTTCTCGTGTTCCATACTCCCAGTTTGAGAATTTTTCCGTTGTTATGTTTGTTGTATCTAGTGATGTTTTCGTTTCCCTTATTCTTCGCCAGTGTCGTCGTTGTTTTTCCTTGTCGTTGGGCGGGTATTAGTTTTTTGTTAAGTTTCCTAAGCTAATAGCTTTTTTAGATACCGCGTTCGAGTTCGTCGGTGATCTTTGACTTATTGTTCTGCCTTTTTTGGACATGTCTGTATTCGTTTCTTCAGGTTCTTGTACCTCTAACTCTTCTAATTTGTACTCTTCGCCATTTACCATTAGTTTGTCATATTTTATGTAGGAGTGGTGTCCTGTCTCTCTCGTTTTTTTCATGTACGGTATTAATGTTCTCCTTGTCTCAATTATGTGTTTGGGGTAGTCCTCTGAAATATATATTTCTGTCCCTCTTAGGTTTTTTGCATGTTTAATTATTTGGACCTTCAAACCGTGATTTTTAATTTTTATAAACACTGGTCTTGTTTTGTTATTTTCTGGCTTTCCTATTCTATAGATTTCACTGATTTCCGCTTCCACGGCCTCGTTGATTCCCATTTCTCGTAGGATAATTCTTGTTGCTTCCTTCAGCTGTAGTTCGTTTTCGTTTTCCATTTCTTTTACTCCGTGTATTATTAAGTTATTTTTCTTTATTTCCCTTTCCAGATATCCAATTTTGTCGTTTTGATGGGCGATGGTTGTTTTTAATTCTTCGTTTTCTTTTTTGAGCTGTTGATTTTCATTCCTAATTTCCTGTATCTGCTTCTGGCAGTCATCCAGTTTAGTTTCGATTCGTCCCAGCTGCTGTTTGATTTGATGTAATATTTCCTCCATGCTATGTATTTTTAGTGCGGCCTAGTGTTATGCAACTCTGCCTACTCGTGTCTGTATAGTGTGTTGCCTATCCGGTCAGAGCGAAAAAGTATGCTGCCAGGTCGACCCTACGGAGCAAGCAATCTTTATCTCTTTCCGTGATAGCTCTTATCCTACTTATTTACAATATTTACACAGTCTAGATTTACTTGTTTCTACCGTTTTTCTGATTTGCTGTATCACTGTTTATCAATTATTGTATATTCCAGTTCCAATCTTTCCGTATACTTTGTGAAGACACAAAAAACACACGTCAATTACTCGAAATGGCCCTAGAAAAGAACTTTATTACGGAGCAACTATTAAACGCGTGCGTGCACTTTCACAGATTCTCTAATTCTAATTGAAATTAAATAAAATTAATTATTTAACGGAGTCAAAATTACTCGTGAGATCGATAATTTTAAACTTCGCTAATAAAATACTGACCTGCATTACCAAAAATGCGCTTTAATCATGCATATGCTGATTTACAACTTGTTTCTATAGAGAGCACGCCGCGACTATTAATTTTACTGCAGTTAAACGCATTTAGCAGATCGTATCTATTAATCAAACTCAATTTAGCAGAGGAAAGGGGGTGTTTTATTGTGCTAGAAAAAGTATGCTTTTAATATTATTGTATGTCCCATGTTCAAAATAAGGGATTCGTGCAGTATCTACATAAAAATAACCATCAAAAGTGTAATCAGGTTATTGGAAACCGTCATGATAATATGGCGCACACAAAATAAGTAACCTATAAACGCATTTAGGGCCAGTCTTTTATCTTACTCCCAAATTTACCCGACAGGTTATTTCCTTTTATACAAATTGATTTGTATAGGAAATTGTGGGTACATGACGCTAATAAGCCCCCCAGCTTATGATGATGAAATTAATGAAAATGGATAGAGGGCACCTTAATTAATTAGCCGTTTTCAATACAACATTTGCGGAAGAAGCCCAAAATTTTCCAAAATCTTAATTAAAAGTTCAGTTCATTTCATCGAAATCTGGTGATATTTTACTTATTTTTAATCATTCTTAAGTTAGTGATACAGAGTCAATTGCACCGTCAAAATTAAGTTTCCCTTAAAGTTAAGCATAACTTAAATACCATAGCAACGATTGTCTTAATAATCGTTGCCATAGATTTTAAGTTCGACTTAACTTTAAGCAAGGCTTAATTTTGTTGGTGCAACTGGGGCTGAAAATTTTTAAGTGACAGCTTTCATTATTCATTTATAAACAAAGGTGACAGCTAATTTTCGTAGGAGGTTAAGTTAACCTCTTCGTCTACTAAATTGAAATATACTGAGTTTAACGTGTATATTCACAATTAATGTACTTAATAGTACATAGTAGTATAACAGGCATTATATACAATACAATTTTAGGTTTTGTTCGACTTATACACCAAATAAGCAACACTTCCATGTCCCATGTGGATATACTTCAATAACACCACTTTTCGAAGTGTATACAGTCTAAACTTGAATAGATTAAGGAAGAAGAATGTCGTAGAGAATGTTACATGTTGCATCAGCATCTGGCAAAGATCGACTTCTCTATATCGATCACTAAGAGGGGAAACCCGGACACTTCCTGCATGCTTCATATACCAATTCGTTCGTATCGACTGCCGATTAACTTTGAACGCCGTTTCCTTATGAATCGCTATTTAGCATCCACCGCCTTATATGATTGAGAGGGGAAGGAATATCTCTCGCACCTTCCATAGATCATCTCTTTGTTAGTGATCACCGATTAACTTGGAACACCTTTTTCCGTATGAATCGCTGCTTACCATCAAACACATGTATAGTAATTGTATATCATTGTTTAACGTTTATTAAATCGTGGATAAATAACATCACCTCTTGAAGATTGAAGATTGTAGATTCCGCAGATTTTTTTATGAACACGCTTAATTAAGGCACCGGCTATCCATTTTTATCGGGGACTTATTAGCGCCACGTAACCGTAATCGTTTCTGGATCGCGGCTATATCCATGAGAATATGTATATAAATAAAATCTATGAACCACGTATCTTTATTTTTCAAATTCAGTGGTTTAATGTTCAGGTGACGTTAGTCGACGGTTAATCGATGTGTTGATATAATGCGCACCGGTAGATGTCTGCCTGATGCCTGATGATCCATACTGTAGCGAAAATTCTAGAAATCCAGAGAGACATCGGGTCGCCACCAGGCCCCATCAAGTCTATCTATATTGCTCACCGGCGACAAGGAATGAAGGCGGATGCGACGCGTTATTTCCGGAAAATGTGTTCTCCTTATTCGGGCTCCTTGAGAATGTTTCATGATTTTTCTAGAAACTTTCCGTTTACTATATAAGCAAATTGAAGCGCGTTTAAAAAGGGAGCTCCAAGATCAATGACGAAATGATTATTAGTGAAGTTTGCGCTCGTATGTCATAAATTGTGTACAAATGAGTGATACATAATAATTAACTGTTATAAATCAATCCGTTTAAAGACTGTTATAAATTCATTAATAATTAATTGCCAATAAATAAATCACGTAGGTACGGTACAGTACTTTAAATAAAGGAAAACTCATTTAAATTATAATTGGTGAAATTTAATTTAACTTAGTGTTCTTAGGCTCGGCTGTATAATGTCAGTCTAAACTTCAGTTTATAGTTGAATTGTGGGTTAAAGGATTTGATTGGCTAATATTTCACAAGTTGGCCAATCGTATTTCTCAAATCTGCCAGTTAAACCAAACTGAAGTTTAACCCGACATTGTACAACCGGGCCTTAGACTTAGAATTTTCGCTATTTTTATTAATGATAGATTTTTATCGGAATTGCTGAACAAATTTGTACGCAGTGTGGAAGTTGGGTAAAAAAAAAGCAAATCCTAATATTAAGAAGGAATATCTAACCGCTTCTGTTAACTACATAATTGCCCAGACATATCTTTAATTCAAGTTGAATAGACATTAGTTTTAGTTGTACTCGAGGCGTCTATACCTATACAAACTTTTATTTAAATTGTTACGTTCATTTCGCTCGTAATTCAAATTTACTATTCTTACTCTCGTTTATATTTAAATTCGACTTTTTACTTGATATTCTTACGCCGTCTAGGTGTTTCGTTTGTAATCCACTAGTTTTAAATGTATTTTAATTACTTTAGAAAAGTTGTTATGTTAGTATAGGTTTTTTTTACGATGTTCTTTGTTTTGCCGATGGAGATCGAACAGAGTTTCTCTTTTCTGTATTATTGTCTACCGGATTGTGCTTTCTACATCGATATTCCTGAGTGGAAACCGACGAGTTTTGAATTTTCTCAGTATTCGCAAGGAAAATTCATTTGGGGAGGCCCGCTGTCTTATCAAGTCAAGCACGCCATAGATGAGTTTCTACATTACCGGCTAGGAAAATTTTACTTTAATTCTATCAACTGTTACAACTACACTGTAACAAAATATTTTAAGAAACAAAAAATTGGGTGCGCCGCCTGCGCATGTGCAAAACAAATTTCTTGAATCGGCATTATAAAAAATAGTTTTACTGCACTACAGTTTTTTTTAGCTGTATTATATTTGCTTGAGGTTGAAGGTATATTTACTAACACAAAACACCGGAATTTCATAATATTGTGCTTATGTTCTTTCTAACAAGAATGATAAAAGAGGCCCTTTTTTTTGGGAGGTTTGGGCAGTTTTGGGGTATAACTTTTTGACGTGATAGCATACGTAGCAAAAACGATCTTGTTATATACTTACGAACAGGTGTACCAATTTTCAAAGCGATCGGACGTTAACAAACTTATCGTGCCCACGGACAGAAAGCAATACAAACTACAAACGATCTTGAAGATCGTTAATAATAAACGGAACCAAGAATGATAAAATATCACAAATTTAAATATACGAGGTGCGGCTATTAAATAACGAGACTGGTTACGAAAAAGGTCTTTATTATAAAAAATACAGATCCAACGAATGTTCCCCTTCAATATACTACCCTTCCCTCTGCACACACCGAATCATTCGTTTTTTCCACTGTTGGAAGCAGTGCTGAAAGTCTTCTTCTGTGAGCGCTTTGAGTAGCTCCGTCGTTTTTTGCTTCACCTCCTCCATTGACCCAAAACGCGTTCTTTTTAGGGCAAACTTGATCTTGGGAAATAGGTAGAAGTCGCAGGGCGCTAAATCTGGCGAATACGGAGCATGTTCAAGCACTGCGATGCTTTTATTGGCTAAAAACGCGCGTTATAAGCAGGTGCGTTGTCTTGATGCAAGATCCACGACTTGTCTTTCCATAACTGCGGCCGTCTCCTACGAACTCGCTCTCGCTGTGTTGCCAGACCTTGCAAATAATAAGTTTAGTTCACAGTTTGACCCTCTGGAACCCATTGAGTCATCACGACGCCGTTAATGTCAAAGAAAACAATGAGCATTGCTTTGAATTTCGACATCCTTGCTTTTTTCATTCTCGGAGATGTTGGAGTTTTCCAATCCATTGATTGCCGCTTAGTTTCAACATCATACTGAAAAATTCAAGTTTCGTCGCATGTGATGATCTTTTCTAACAATCCAGGTTCTTCCACTAACCTTTTCAAGAACATCTGAACAGATCTGGTGACGGACAAGTTTTTCGGTACGACGCGAGAAAAAAACACGCTGGCTTCAAAACGCAATAGCATAAATACTACTCAACGCACAAAAACGTCTTTTTGCACTGGAATAGGTGATACTTCAAGGTTTCCTACGATGTTTTCGATTCCCCCTCTACACTTCTGGTACGCATTCTGCGCACACAGTCTCGTTATATAATAGCCGGACCTCGTACTTAAATCTGTGAAAATATGGTCATACCGGGTCATACTATCGCGAATGTAATTTGCATATTCATTGCGATATCACGTCCAAAATAATAAATAAACAAGGAGCGGCAACCGTTATTATGTATCCGCACCTCCAGTTAATTAAATCAAGAGATAATTAACCGGTGGGAAAAAATCTTATATAAAATAGTCTGCATTAATGTCCTCTAAAAGGTTTCAAATAAGTAGCCTAAAGGGTCAGAAGTGTACTGACGCATTCTATTCTGCCAGCTATTTCAAACTTTGAATGGAACTATAGCTGCTTTGCTCTAAAAGGCATTAGTGCATGTCTTGGATAACATTTCCGTTTAAATGTATCACCTGAGGGTAACATGATATGCAAAGTCACTTAGTATTAAGACTTTACATTTTAACATAAAGAGGATCCTATTCGGGAACGCAAAACTTGATAGCTAGATGCCCTTAGTCAGATTGTATATTTCTGACCTTTTTCAGACTGAAAAATTTGTCCAATTCTTCCGCCTTACAGTGAATCATTGTAAGATAATGCAAAGTGAAGAAAAATAAATGTTTTACCTTAGAACTGGAGTAAGGTATTAC